AATTTCGTGACAGACAGACGGACAGACACACAGACAAACATACAGACGGGCTTAGCGCGTTATTATAGTAGGATGGCAGATCACCTTTTCCAGTTGTAAGCAAATCTACAACTAGCAAGTTTTCAAGCGAACTGTATGTACTTTGATCATAACCAGAGTCGTCGACTAAGTGGCTTGCGTATTGGTACTAATTATTCTGTTGATCGTGATTCGAAAGAAACAACAAAATTGACCGAGCGTTTTATCCGTTCCAATTTATTCAAAATCCCTTGCAGTTTAAACTTTTTTCAAAGTAGTGCGTCACTGTCGTACAGGGACGACCGTCACATCTCTTTGTTTATTGGAACATCAACTTTGGAGGAAAGATCTACAATATTTCTCGGTAAGCATCTTACATTCCCTATCACTCCGAAAATTTTTTTGGGGTGCTTCCCAAACTTTTTGACCTGGGACCCCAAATTTTTGAAAAAAGGGGGCGTGGCGTCATGGGACCCCAAGCCCCAGAAAAAATTTTTTTATAAAGCTAAATTGAAATTTTAAAAAATTTTAAAAATTATTCCAAGTCTTACAAGTATATTCAAATCGTTTGCACATTTTTATAACCCATATAAGTAACTTAAAAACTTTCCCGACCCATTCTCGAGGGGGGCTCCGTACGCCACTGCTGTAGAGCATTGGATAGAGGAATACAATCTCAACAAAGCTATGCTAAGCACAAGCATTATCAACGTTACTATTGGAATTCAGGCGAAAATTCCGAAGCATAGAATTTTGACTCAAAGCAGTTCTCCACGATCTCCTACATCTATGAACGTTATAAAAACCCCCACATTCATTTAAAGTATGCACATACATACATATGAGCACAGTTCATATGGAATTTGAGATTAAACATCGAGAAAAACGAGACATTTAAAAGGTGTTAAACATCGCTTCTATTAATCCTGCTTCCTCCCATTTCTTAAATAGCAGCTACAGGCGAGAGGGAGTACAGCCGCAAATTTTCCGAGGACGTAAATGCATGGGTTTCTAGAAATAGAAAGTTTGATTTGAAATTGTTCGAAAGCTTTCAAGCCGACCTAAGACATACATTGATAACAACGTCAAGGCATTTTCACCAAAAGCAGTCATCTATCCTTGAATAGAATTTCAAAATTTCGCTCGTACAAAAGTATCAAATATTAGTGAGGACATTGAATTTGTACTTCCCACTTGCTCCACAATGAATCATAATTCTTTACACCGCCGTTGTTGCTAGCAAACGTTTCAACTATTTGCCAACGAAGAGCGTCTCAAAAATATCCTACAGAAATGTAGCTGTAGTATTTTTGTTTTTTCTTCAATCGTAAAAATCCGTAGCATTTTATGCCGCGTATAAATTGGTGGTAAGAGGAAACGACATCAGTTGCACGATGATCCGTGCAGTGGTTCTGTTGCCAACCATTGAGCTGGTTTTTGCTTGCTCTCCCGTTGCACCAGGACAGGGTACGCTTATGTGGTACCGCAATCTTACAGTATTTTTTCGACAAATCACACTTTCTATTCGCATAAATACAAGTAATTCAGATGTGAAAGTAAGCTTTTTGGTGAATAATCTTCTCAAAATTCCCGTGGAATTTGCTTACACCAAAGAAGGCATGGTATTAGGAGCTTTCCCCAAATTTGCCAGATTTCCAGAAAACGCTACCTCAAACCTTAAGCGTTACGTAAAAAGTGCGGTGAGGTGTTAAATAAAGCTATGCATACAAATTAGAAAGCAAATGTTTTTTTAGGTGACAGGCGCTATTAGAGAGGAAGCTAGAAACGCTGGAATTGAACACCTCGTATCAGATATCGCAAGCCAGATTACCCCCACTGTGTACTACTTTCCGCTAAACTGCTCGATTGCAATAACTGCCACACAAACTACTATAACTCCTGGACCTGGACAAGGTAGCTTCAACTGAATGTATTTGAATG